AAAAACACCCGTGGACTCATAGGCCTTTTGGACGGCCACCTCTTTCTTTTTAATCTGCTTGCAACTCGAACCACCACCAGCGTTCTGTGAACCTCCAGCTTGCCCGAATTCAGATCGCATGCCTTGCAAAGCTTTCCGATCGATCTTCTTCACTCCGCGTCTGGAAGATCCCAGCGCTTCAACAACCTTGGGGGGCAAGCGCTTGCGCGCTGCCGAGGCCTGCGACTTGTGCGTCGCGCCGCTCGCAGCCTTGCGAAGGGCAGTGGCGTACCCTTTCTGCGAGCCCGACCCAGATGCCAGCTGGAGTGACGATCCAGCCTGCTCATCTTGCACCAGCAACGCTGGTTTCACAAAAAAGAATGCAGAGCTGTATTTCTTCTGCAGGCTGGCATATGCGTTATCGGCGATCTGCCCCCCATTGTGCATCCTTTCAATAAGGTCCGCCAAAATCTCCAGCGACAAACCAGTCCTCTTCCACAAGTATCCGTGCGCTTGTAACACACGGGTACAGTGGAAAACGCCAGGAACCCGCGAAGGCCCGTTACCGCCTTGATTACAGATTGCAGTCTGCCCACCGAGGCACAAAGCTACCCAGTCATACTCCTTATCGAGCTGACGCACGAAGTTTTTCAAGCAGGGAACCACGTCTGAAGTAGATACATTCGATGCCGTTGTGACATCGTCCTCAAGGATCAAGGCAAATTGCACTTTCTGCTCGTTGAAGGCTTTCTGTACTTTCAACAGGGCATTGCCGTGGCTTTGGCTGCATCCATATTGGCCCCAAATGAAAGTGGAGCCGTGAGCCGCCAGTTTTCCTGGACGAAACTTCGAAACGATCCTTATCTTTTTCTTTGTTTTTTTGCTCACCTTGTCATAGCTTAAGCGGTAAGTGGACGCACTTTGTTTGACGCATCTTCCACCTGAAAGTAAGCAACTCTGTCCGTCCGTTGCAACAATTCTCTCCGGCTTTACACCGATGCCTTTGCAAAAGAATTTGGCTTTGCGCCAACGCTCAGTCTGTCTGACCAGATTAATCACCAACACCAGCAAAGACTTCGCAAAGTTACGCATCCGACAAAAGGACTACTATGCCTGACAACTATTATGTGAAAAGGCGAGCTATGGTTTGCATCATTGAACAAGGCTAGCATATCTTTGGGCAGGTCTGTGTAGATGAGGGTGCCTGTGCAGTTCCGAGAGTTGGTTTGATGAAACTACCATGCTATAGAGTTCTGAAATTGAAATGTAAGTGTTGAAATCAATCTGATTGTTTTTTGGTGGCAGTGATTGTTTTGAGCTGCGGAGCCATGCTTCCAATGAAAAGCGCTGCAAACTTCCAATCTGAAACCTCCGATCTGACTCTGCGATTCCCAAAGCCTCCAAACCTCCGAACCAAACGGTTGTCACTGGGAACTCCCCGCGCGGGAAAGAGCTCGTTGTAGCAGAGGTCGTACCTCGAAACAAGCCCGCTGACAACCTGAGAAGCTGCAAAACGAAAGCCAGCGCTTCCCTTTCTCGAGAACTGCGCGTCGAAGCATAGGATAGAAAGGTAGGTCTGCACCCTAGATCCACCATCCCACTCCATTTTCTTTCATTTCTCTACGGCAGCTCCGCTTGGCATTTGCCAGGTGGAGGCGGCCGTGAGACCTCTTACACACCTACACAAGTTCAAAGCACGAATGAGACTTCAAAGCTGTGGATTGCTGTGCGTGTGTAGAGGCTATCGAGCGGTTGACGGAAAGGGAACTTGAAGTACTATACCTGGTAGCTGCAAGCAAGGTGCCAACTACACCTTTATTTTCAAGGTGGCCTGAACAGAGTGTTTCAGGGCAGTAAACCGTGGTCTCAGGCCACCTTGAATTTAGCTTGAAAA